CATCCCGCCTGTTCCATTACACCATCTTTCGTTTTTCCGTCAGGATTCTGTTGTGTGTGTGTGCGTTTACTGACATTGCTAGTTAGCTTTTTCTCGTTCTTGCGAGAGATAGACGTGTTTGTATGCACTATCGGATTCTGCTTTACTCCGACCCTCTTTCTCCCTTCAGCTATGGTCATGGACGTAATCAGGGCGGTGCAAGAGACTGTGGCCTACTTCTGCCAGCCCGTAGCCACATCATGCGCCTCCGACGCGACACTGGCTTCCTCGACTGGAGGCAACCGTAGGGCCTCCTCCTCGCTCTCCAGCCAAGGCCGCAGTGGCCTCCTCGCCGTGATCTTTCCCCTGATGACCCTCCTTTCCGACGGCCTCCTTCCACCCACTAAACCTCTCTTCACAAAACCCCTGCGAACCCGTATATGGCTATTAGTGGAGGAGAGTTGTAAACAATGTGAGTACTGCTCCCCCTCGCCCACTCTTACCACCTCTCTCCCCTCTTTTACTGCTCACCTTAATGTCCAGTCTCCGTCTGATCTTACTAACACTTCTTTATGCCGTAAACATTGATCCCGCAAAATACGCCAGTAAAAGTGTGTATTATGCACAGAAATTCAGTGGTGGTCAGAGACCCTGACGCGCGGCAACCTCTGGGTCTGCTACGTACACCTGTCTGCTAAGGTGGTGTGGACGTGAAGGAGTGGGTGTCATAAGGGAGTCAGTCAGTCAGTCATTCTCCGCTTGATTAGTTGATTGAGGGATAACGGTTTATAGGCGATTGAGAATGGCTGTCACAGAGGCTTTCTGTGTGCAGCCCGGCAGCTGAAACCCCTCAGGACTAGGTCAGGTAGAGTATGAAACAGTGGCATTAAGCTACGGATGTTGGGTGATAATCAGCCAGAAGTAGGCTACTAGATTCTTACGGCAGATATTTCAAACCAATTGGATACTTTTCGTTCTTAGTATGAAAGGCCGAAAACGTAAGCAGTTTGTGAACGGTTGTGATTGGCTGTCCCAGAGGCTGTGTGCGTGCCGTCCGGCAGCTCGAGAACGGGGGCCACATGACCAAGAGGTCATTTGTGACATAGGCTCCAGAGGCGAAAGTTGCTGCACAACCGT